GAATGTTTTTTGGTCAGCAGTATATATTTCCTTTCTTTGTGCATCAAGTCATAGGCTCTTTAAGAAACACCGGAAGGGTTAATGAATGAGAAGGCAGATAAAAAAACCTCCTGAATGCTGCACCTTTGGATATGTCCAAAGCTCTACTGCTGTTTGGACCTTGTGGTGCACCCGTGTTTAGACTATGTTCCACTGAAGTTTTTTGTTAATTACAGTAAGTAATCACATTGCTTTTCTGTTAATAGGACTATATCGATCTAAACAGGATCATGTGAGTTCATTTTGTTTTGCTGCTGATAAGCCTTTTGAGTTTAATACAGTAACATGTTGTTCAAAAAGTTAAAAAAAAGTTTTCTTTGATCCTGTTGATACCCCAAAATCAAAACTAGTGGATGATTTTGGGCAGGTACTGGGGAAACAAACCTGATAATTAAAGGGTCAATAACCTATTTTTTACCCAAAAAAGGAGGAAATATTGAAGCATATGCTAGTAGCTAATGCTGCATAGTGTCACGCTTCCGTGCATATCGATTAAGTGCCAGGTTTTACCTCCTGTCCGAGTTGCTCAGGCTCCTTCCTATGAACCTAGATATTATTAAACCTGTGCGCCTGTGTGTTAGTGTTCGAACAATGTGTCTCCACATAGAAGCCGGACCCCTCTGTTTCGTGTGGTTTTCATTTGAGTATTCTTATATTTTTTAAGTGTTTGATTCTGTCATTGCTCCCAGTGTTTTCCCCTGGCTGTGCAGTTGTATCCCCTTTCTCTCTGTCCGTGGACCCTTTCCTTCCCTGTTGCTGTGTGTGTCCTTCCCAGCATTGATTCGTGTTGTTTGTTTGCCCTGCTGTCCCTTCCCAGCTTCCTGCAGTTGGTTACTTTGCTTTCTTGTATCGTGTCCTTTCAACGTGCTACTTGGTTGCACTGTGCCTGCATGGGTGTGTTAGAGAGCCGCAACCTGGGGGCTTACATGGAGCACAGCATCTACACCTCCAGTGGCTCTGATGAAGACCGAGTGGCTCCTTAGATCTTGTAAATCTAACACACCACCATTTGCGTGCGGTTACACTGTTCCAGCACCTGTGAGGATCGGTACTCAGGCACACTTATGGCGGCCCTCTGACAACGTTTGGCGGAAGGTATCAAAGACGAGTTGGCAGGTCGTGAAATTCATACCATCCTGGAAAATTTCATTTCTTTGGCCATCCAGATTGACACCCGTTTCCAGAGGAGCACTCCCAGGAAAGGGCTCAGCAGCACAAATCCTCGGCTCTTTGTCTGATCCCAACCTTTCAACACCCCTTTCTACCTCCCAATGACTCCTCTCCCTCTTCTCATGAAGAGCCTATTCAACTGGGCCATTCATGCCTATCCATTGAGGAAAGGATCCATTGTTGGATTCAGGGACTGTGCATCTACTGCAGACAAAAGGGACATTTCTTGAAACGGTGCCCACAGCGGTCGGGAAAGCTTCCTAGGCTAGTATACCTAGAGGGGGTATGCTAGACCATACTTCTTGCCCCTCAAGTCCATTTCCGACTATTACTGTTAAGTTGTACTTTTCGACTACCACTGTATTTCTCAATTTCTCAATGCAGTTTTCAACAAAGAGAAATGTGCATTTCTGCCACTAGGGGCTCTGCAGGGGAAAGACTCCAGTTTTGTTTCCTTGTGGGCTCCATCATGTACCTCCTACAGTTGGGTGATTGTTGGGATACAGTAGATTATGGTTTCTGTCCTCTCAGACCTTAATTGACAGGTAAGAAGGTACATTTGACAATTTATTTTTATATTTTTTCAACTTTTAAATGATTCTTATTTATGTTCTCCACCGTCACAGCATAATGTTTACCTATAGTCTGGTCAGTCAATTGTTTTTTTCTTTTCCTCCTCAGTAAAATGGCAAAACCCACATTTAGAGTTTTGGAAACATTTCCACAGTTCACCTTCTGCAGATTTCTGCAATTTACAAATATTGTGAGAAGAAATATTATTTTCCAAGTGCTACAAGGATGATCAAACACATCCTTGCATGCCAGAGGTGCCCTAAAGACATTAAAAATACTTTATAGAATGAATTGATGAGAATCATAATGGAAGTGCAAGTAACATTTCCCTCCAGAGTTCTCATTCCAGAAACACTCTTTCTGCTGCTTCTGGATCATCACAAAGTGTTTCTTCACCAGCAGCATCTTCAAGTAAGGAAGTGTTGCAAACCATGGCCTCCTTAAAATACACAATCCCTTCATTTATAGATAAAATGACATCTGAAAATCAGCATGAACATCGATCAAGCTCTTGCAATACCAATATATGCTCCTGGATCAGCATTGTCAATAATGGAAAACGTATATTGGCAGGAAGCTTTTACATTATTATGAGTTAAATGGGGTTGGTTAACTGTTCTCATGTGCAGTTGAAATGTTCTTAACATATACAGTCCTTGTTGATCAACTTGTAATGAAAAATGAAATTTTAAAAACCAAATTTAGTTTATTTACTGAATTAGCTGTACTTTTACTTCTTTTCAATTCTTTTTATTCAATTTTTAGAAGGTAATTCAAGTTAGAAAACAGTTACAGGGTAGATAATAATTATAACATTGGTAATACACTCGTATATTTGCCAGACTAGGATTAATAATAGACAAAGCTATAGATCAAACTAGGAAATGTATACACAACAGCATACGTTAATAAGCCTTTGCCCAAATAAGACACACCTAATATACGTGTGCAATTATCCGTATTTCTTAAGCGTAGACAAAATACATATTTATGCGTATATGTAATATAGAATCAGTAAAGGAGAGAAATAGAAGGTTGGAAGAAAAGATAGAGATTCAACAGAGCTCAAGTTCGGAATAATATTAGTTCTAACTTTATGCACCATAACCAATTATTAAATTCGTATTTGAACTAGATCTTACAGATCTGTAATTTTAAATATATTATTCCAACAGGACCACCTGGTTTTAAATATCCCTATAGTATGAGACGAGATGGCGAAAGACCTGTCATCGATATACTGTAATGAGAGTGTACTCTATTAATAACATCCGAGATACTGAAAGTTTTAGAGGACTTCCATGCATTAGTAATTATAAGCCTGGCTTCAATTAGAATGTGGACAATTATTGTTCTATATTGAACAGGGAACAAGCTTAAGGTAAGATTTAATAATGCCAAATGGGGGTTTGGTCTTGTAAGTACCCCAGACACTTGAGAAATGCAAAAACATAATGCCAAAAACTATGTATAGAATTGCATTCCCACATAACATGTAATAAATTAACCACGCTACCGCACTTTCGCCAACATAAGGGTGATGCATCGGGGTACATCTTAGATAATTTATATGGGGTGATGTAGCCACGGTATAGAATTTTTAGAGAGTTATCTCAATGATTGGTACACTTTGTGAGGCCTAGATTATTAGTCATAGCAGTGTGCCATTCTGCTTGAGTAAAGAATCTTTGCAGGTCCCTCTCCCACCTATCCACGCATGCCAACGTAGAGTTGTCGTTCTCGTTATAGAACCAAGATATACCTTTTTTCAGCCCAAGGGGATTTGATATAGCATGCCATATCTTAGAGTCCACTTCCACCCATGTCTTTTGGTTTGATACATGGTAGTTGCTGATCTGGATGAAAAGATATATAATTCTTCCTAGCTGTGGGAAGTGAATCTCATTAAAGGTACGGTATCCTGCATCTCTCAATTGTCTTGTATTAAGGTTGGGTATAAAATGTTCATATGCTGTTAATGGTATATCCATTCTGAGTTTAGGTAAGGAGTGGTTAGTTTTGTTTAATCCTACCAATCATGCGTCAAGTGTTGCAGAGATAGAAGGGAGGTAGATATTTATTAATTTAGGTGAAATGGTTTTCGCAATTATTAAAGCTTGGAGGTCTTGGTTAGGGACTGTGTTCTGTTCTATTTGAACCAATAATTTATCAGAAGGGACTAGCCATGCTTGGAGCTGACCTAAGAGTGCATCATGGTAATAAGTTGAGATTACTGGCCCTCCCTTAGATTTTGTTTAGTAAGAGCTGAGAATAGAATTTTTTTCCAATTCTTCCTGAATTTTAACGTAGCATTAAAAAAATTTTAATACTACGTCCAAATTCAGGAAGTAAATATAGGGAATAAAGAGTGGAATTGTTCTAAAATAGTATAGTATAGTATTTTGGGCAGGATCAACATTTTAAAGGCCGCTATTCTATCTAGGCAGGATAGTTCAAATTTTTCAATTCGTGTTAGTTCCGTTAAAATTGTCTGATATAGTTTCTCATAATTATCATTGAACGTATTGGAAGAAGGAGTAGATACACATATGCCCAAGTAGTCTAATTTCTTATAATAACCCAATTTTATGGGATTTATGTGCTACTTGTATACCAGAGATTAATGGATTAACCCCAAACCTACAGGGAACTTATACCCCCTTCCTGCCCAGGCCAATTTCCAGCTTTCAGCATTTTGAATGACAATTGCACGGTCATGCAACACTGTACCCATATGAAATTTTTATATTTTTTTTGTGACAGATAGAGCTTTATTTTGGTGGTATTTAATCACCTCTGGGTTTTTTATTTTTTCTTAAATAAACCAAAAACCACAAAAAATTTTGAAAAAAAAAATGTTTTTTCTTAGTTTTTGTTATAAAATGTTGTAAATAAGTGATTTTTTCTCCTTCACTGATGTGCGTCAATGAGGCTGCAGTGATGGGCACTGATAGGTTGCACTGATGGACACTGATAGATGGCACTGATGGGCACTGATGAGAAGGCACTGGTAAGTGCCCCTGATGGACATTGTGAGGCATAACTGATAGGCACTGAACGGCAGCACTGATATATGGTACTGATATATGACACTGATAGGCGGCACTGACTGGCACTGATAGGCGGCACTGACTGGCACTGTTAGGCGGCACTGACGGGCACTGATAGGCGGCACTGATGCACACTGATAGGCAGGACTGACTGGCACTGATATGCCGCACTGACTGGTACTGATAGGTGGCACTGATTGGCATTGATAGGTGGAACTGACTGGCACTGATGGGTGACACTGAAAGGCAGCTCAGATGGGCACTGATATGTTGCATTGATGTGCACTGGTAGGCACTGATATGTGGCATTGATGTGGCACTGATGGGCACTGGCACGTGGCACTGATGAGCACTGACAGCTGGCACTGATGGACACTGACAGGTAGCACTGCTGGGGCTACAGTGATCATCAGGGCACACTGATCATCAGTGCTCTGATGATCAGTGTACATGTCTTCTCCGCAGAAAGCCGATTACCGGCTCTCCTCTCCTCTCGAGCTGTCAGCGTGACAGCTCGAGAGGAGAGAAATGCCTATAACCAGCATTTCCCTGTTTACATGTGATCAGCTGTGATTGGACACAGCTGATCACATGACCGAGCCGGCATCTTCGGCTCTTTCTGTGGCTCGGTGATCCGCTGTGTCAGAGGGACACAGCGCACCACCGATCGCCGCGCTGCACGGCCCTGGGTGGTGCGCATGCGGGGTTAGAATGGGAGGATGTCATATGACGTCCTCTCAGAATGACAGAATCACCTTGCATCCATCATATTACTATATGGTGGGCGGGAGGTGGTTAAGTCTAATTGCAGTCGCCAAGGATTCCATCACTAAAGAGAAAACAATAGCAGGACTCCCTGATAGCCATCTGTGTCTCCCCCGGCGTGCCTTTCACTCCACTCATCATACCTCATCACACCTCATCCTTAACCAGCAGCAGGTATGCCTGGAGCAATGTGCAGTTCAGGGGGCTGCGGTGGCAGGAACCTTGGCTATGAGAAAAGGGTGACACTTATAGTGAGCTATGACAACTGGCAAAGCTATTATGACCTTCCATGCACTTATCTCTGCGATCCGTATGGTAGAGACAAGATCGATATGTTTTCTTTCAGGCTTCCACTGGCACCAGATACCCAGCGAGCAGAGTTCTGTATCTGCTTTTGGGCAAGGAATACTGGGACAACAATGAAGGCAAAAACTGAGACTGAACACAGCAAATACCTTCAAAGAGTGTATTGGTGAAATGGGCCAGATTGGTGTTTAGAACTATGAAAGTGCTGGTCCACTTAACAAGAGTACTGCATTGTACATCCACCTTTTTTTAGATCAAGAGGGAAACTCCATTCTTTCAGCTGTAAGGGTAAACTAGATGGAATACTTATTTACTGATATGGTTGTCAGGCAAAATTGTGGTTGTCATGGGCTTCTGCTTGTACTCTTAAAACTCGGCCACTTGATAAGCAAGGTAACCGAATGAGAATGCCTACTCCCCAACAGAATAATGAGGGGGTTTATTTATAAATCTGTTCACAAGAGTCTCACAACCTTCACCCATGATTCACAAATGTTTCCAATTGGTAAATACATGAATCTTGTGAAGCTTTTTATAAACCTCTTAAATTGTATTGTATAAGCTGTTCATAAGCCTATGTACTGTATGCAGCTTACGGTGTGCACCTGTTGCTTCTTCGCAGTGACTGTAGATATTTGTGGCTTGGTCAGCATTTGTTAAAGCCACAAAATGCCTCCTTTCTCTGCATATAATGGCTTTGTATTATTCAGTCAGACTTTTTTTCAGATCAAATTGGGTGCAAGAAAACACATGGTTGTCTAACTTGGTCAGTAACACAATACTCACACTTGTGCTAAAGCTCACAGGCTCAATAAGCATTCTAAAAAAAATAAAAAAATAAAAGAGAAAATAATAGGAGAAAGGGGGCATCCTTGCCTAGTGCCGTTGGTGATTATAAAAGAGTCTGATAGGGCATTAGAGGTAAATACTTGCACAGTGGGGACTGTCTATAAAGCCATAATGGCTGATTTAATATACCCATAAATACCAAAGTTATTTAGAGTAGCATCAAGATATTGCCAATGGACCCTATCAAAAACCTTTTCAGCATCCAAAACAGCCTGTGATTTACTAAGTTCGGTAAATCTCATCAAATTAAGTACTCGACGGGTGCCATCTTATGCTTGTCTTCCTTTAACAAAGTCCACTTGGTCTGATTGGATAAGGGAAGGGGTTATTTTTAATAAGCGAATCGCGATGATTTTCCCGTATATTTTATCGTCCGTATTTATTGAGGATATTGGTTGGAAATTTTGACGGTGATCTGGAGTTTTACCAGGTTAACTCTTCATAGGATTTTTAACTCAGCACAATAAACTTATGCTGCACAACTCATTTTAGCTAGGGGGATCTTTGAATGGACTGTGGTCATCAACCAGATCCCCATTACAGATTTGCTGTACTCAGGGAGTATGGGGAATCTGATTCAATACACTCTAGTGGGTGAGGTTGGTACTGTGAAAAAGATGCTTTGGGTCCTTTGCATCCATGGAGTTATGATGACTTACCTACTAGAGTCCACACCAATTACCTCTATCTGTCAATTTGTTGAACACAAGATCAGACTGGTAATAAATCTGGTACGCTCTGTAACGGACAGCCATGGCTTTCCCAGGTTTTTTAGAACTGTGGGAAACTTAGAAAGAAGGGGAGAGACCAGTTTAGACCTCTAATGAACAGAGGATGTTGTTATAGATATGCAAAATTATTATTTATATAATATCCTATATGATGAAGGGCTTGCTTACCCAGCCAAAAATGAGAAAGTTGCTAGTACTGGTAAGCAAAATCTGTCCCAAAAATAAGCAGAGAAAAGACATCTTTGTTACAAGTCATGCTTGGGGAGGATGCTGAGAAGGCCACCTTTATACCTAACCTCCCTGATCTGGATTTATCCAAGGGGCCTTTGGCTTGGCCCAGATGCAGGAACCCACTCTGGCGCAGGCAAGAGAACAGGTTGTTGTTATAAATGTGGTTCCCCAGGGGGAAATTAACTGTGACCTTATTTTGCAGTCAGTAATGAAATGCTTTATCAGGTCACCAAGGTTCAGGAAGAAAACCTGTTGAACAACCATTGGTGTCTCAAATTTATAGACAGTTGGTCATAAACCTGGCATATAATGATCTTTTAGGTGAGACACCTGGGAACTGAGAAACCTGAGACATATATCATCAACCTGTTCTACTAGTTAGGGTTAAAAAGCTGAAGTATAACAACTCTATACATCTTGTCCCACCTGCCTGGTATGCACTCCAGTGTCCCACTTCTGATTATAACTCAGGTTCTGTTTAAAAGTATAGCCATGGATGTAGTAGGCACACTGGTAAAGTTCACTTGATGTCGCCAATACATATTGATTTTCCTTGATTATGCTACCTAATATTCTCTATTCTTCTCTGAAATGCCTCATCAAAAATGTTCCAATGACCTGTTCCAATTACTAGGAGAAGTATTCCCAAGCAAATTCTTACCCATCGCAGCGAGCATGTTGAGCTTTATGGCAGATGTGTGCAACGTGTTTCAGATTAGGCAGTTGTGCTCATCTGTCTACCAACTGCAGATGGATGACCTGGTGGAATGCTTTAACAAGACTCTAAAAACCATGCTTAAGTAGATGGTGCAAAAAAAATGGAATGTCTTTTGCCACCACTCCTGTTTGCCTTATGTGAGGTGCCACAGATCTCCATGGGGTTCTTACCTTTTGAACTGGCACATGGACAGAGACCCCAGGGATTGCTTGACCTAGTGAAAGAAGAATGGAAGAATGGGTCCACTCCTCACAATAGTGTTCTAGAATAGAATATGCATCCCAAATGCAAGAAAGGATCACAAATGTGATGCCACTGGTTAACTGTGTGTCGTTGGTCAAACACATATATGCAGTCTCTTGGCAGGTGCCTTAATGCGTACCTAAAGATAAAAAAAAAAACTGTTCCAAGAGCTCAAACCATGCGCGCTCCCAGAACAATTACCAGTGGTTAACAAAAAGCTCCCTATCTCTACTTGCGTTTGGCAGCTTCCCAATCATGTGACCACCAATCATGGCGGTCACATGACTAGAAATGCCGCCCCACCTCCTGGCATCTGAAACCCCTTAAAGGGCCAAGAGCCACCAGCACCAAGGGGTTAAAGTTCATTTCAAAAGTCTCCAGGATGCACAACTCTGGTTTTATAATAGGTTGGCACTAGAGATGAGCGAATTATTCAAAAATTCGATTCGGCTGATTCGCCGAATTCGCGGAATAAATTCGATTCGAGGCGAATATATTCGCTGCGAATTTAACTTATAAAAAGGGTGTTTCTAGGCTTCAGAGAGCCTTTATATTAGTGCAGAACACTGTACCTTTAATTTAAATGCCCTTGGAGTCTGCTGGGGAAGAGAACTAATACTGTCAGTCAGTATGACATGCAGATGAGTGCCGTCAATCTTAGAATCAACGCACACTTCACTCATTTGGGCAGTCACGGGGGCCAAAACCAGAGTGTGGAGCCACAGTGTGGCGGGTGGAGGCAGCAGCAATGGGAGGCCATACAGCACCCTATGACAAAATGGAACCCACCAGCAGTGTGAGGAGACCTGAAAGTGGCACATGGCAGAGTGTGGCGATGGAGACAGCAGCAATGGGAGGCCGTACAGGGACCCATGACACACTCTGGACCTGGCAGCAGCATGAGGAGGCGGTACAGGGGCCCATGACAGATTACGGGCCTGGCAGCAGCAGTGGGCGGGCGGTGGATGCAGCAGTATTCGGAAGCCAAACACAGGCCTCGGTTAAAAAGCGGAAGCTGTCAGCAGCGTGAGCAGACGACAGAGGCACATGGCGCAGGGTGGCGGTGGAGGCAGCAGTATTCGGAAGCCATACACAGGCCTAGGTTAAAAAGCGGAAGCCGTCAGCAGCGTGAGCAGACGACAGAGACACATGGCGCAGGGTGGCGGTGGATGCAGCAGTATTCGGAAGCCAAACACAGGCCTCGGTAAAAAGCGGAAGCCATCAGCAGCGTGAGCAGACGACAGAGGCACATGGCGCAGGGTGGCGGTGGAGGCAGCAGCAATGGAAGGCCATACAGCACCCTATCACAAAATGGAACCCACCAACAGTGTAAGGAGACCTGAAAGTGGCACATGGCGCAGGGTGGCGGTGGAGGCAGCAGTATTCGGAAGACATACACAGGACTAGTTTAAAAAGCGGAAGCCGTCAGCAGCGTGAGCAGACGACAGAGGCACATGGCGCAGGGGGTGGTGGTGGAGGCAGCAGTATTCGGAAAGCCATACACAGGCCTAGGTTAAAAAGTGGAAGCCGTCAGCAGCGTGAGCAGACGACAGAGACACATGGCACAGGGTGGCGGTGGAGGCAGCAGTATTCGGAAGCCATACACAGGCCTAGGTTAAAAAGCGGAAGCCGTCAGCAGCGTGAGCAGATGACAGAGACACATGGCGCAGGGTGGCGGTGGATGCAGCAGTATTCAGAAGCCAAACACAGGCCTCGGTTAAAAAGCGGAAGCCGTCAGCAGCGTGAGCAGACTACAGAGGCACATGGCGCAGGGTGGCGGTGGAGGCAGCAGCAATGGAAG